GGGGCAGCTTGGGCTTTTCAGGATAAGCTGCTTATCCTGAAACGCGGCCCGCGGGCCGGCCACAGGGGTCGACCCGCGGCCTGCGTTTAGTGTAAAAACTCAAATGCAGTTTCGGATAAGCTGGCGAAAAACGCGAACCAAACGGTACAGCGGCGTTTTGAAAACGCCGCCCGCACTTATAAGCTGCCCCAAATGGACTCTTAAAGACTGTTGTTTAAGAATACAGTTTGCCATATGTACTATCCGTTCTCGTATGGATCAAACCCTGGTCAGAAGGTCTTACGACTGACAACACAACTACTTACCAACTTGTCACCCAATAATATGTGTGTGTTTGTCTATATATATATTCTAAATATTTGATGTTATCTCGAACTTAAAATTATTTTTTCCACATACCTATGGTAATTTATTCCAACTAAAAACACTTGTAGAAAATTTAATATATATGCTGAGAAATTAGCGAGGAATAGGTAGCTTCTTCCAAACCTTTTAAAGTTGGGAAGATTACATGTGTGTCACTCAATTCTTAAGTATTCTACCCGCTAAACTCTCATTTTTATGTATACACCACCTTTATCTCTGCATGGAGAAGTGTATTCCACTTTTAAAAAGTTAAAATGGTGCTATTTTTGAAAAAAGAAGTTTGTGTTAGACAAGAAAATATACAAGAATTGGATGGTATGTACGTAAATGCCCTTAAATATGCCCCCTTTAACTTATTTAATTATTCCACCAGGAATTGCAAATAGATTTAAGGGTGCATCCACAGAGTAAATGAACAATATATGAAAGACTTTACCCAAAATTCATTGTTCATCATAAGGAAAAATATTACTTGCGGCGGCCGCACACGTTTGGACAACGGTCTGGATGGGCCTCCGTGCAATACATGACAGCGTGACAACATTCAGACTGTCATCCGAACGTGCGGTCTACCACACGTAATATTTTTCCTCATAATGCAATGGTTGACCCTTCCAAAATTCACTGTTCATTTATATATCTAAAATAAATTTGTAATAAGGATATGTTTGTTACATAGACTTATATATATATATATATATATATTAATGTTTTAATAAATATAAAAATTTACAAATTGGAACCATTAAGAAGAAAGTGCAAAAAAAGAAAGTAATAGTCAAAATGATTAAAAGGATAGAAATAATAAGTAAAAGCCTAAATGAATTTTTTTTTGCATTTAGATGAGCTACTACTTCTCAAATGAGAGGTCTTCACATAATGTTTATCTTTCTCATCTATTACATCATTTCATTGAAAATTTCTTAAGTAGATTATATGATTCAGGAAAACACCACTTTCACATCTAGTTCTATGATAGAATTATCATCTCCTTGATTTCTATATACATTCAATGAAAAAGGATTTATTATGCATGATAAATGGTTAATGATAGAGCTATTATACGCTCATAGTAGAGGAGAAGTAGATGTAACAATAACCTCCATGAAAAATTACAGTCGCATAACACTGATTCGAATGTCAGCTTATGCTATCTAGAAATAACACTATCACTATCCACATAGTATGTTTGGCACTTGCAACTTGAAAAGTCATCTACAAATTGTGGGAAAAGTTATTCATGAATCAACTTATCTTGTAAACTAACTTCAACTCATTTATTTTTATATGAAACACTAAGTTCTACGTAAAATCAAGAGTTTTGGGCCAACTTACAACTTGCAATATTATAATCACCTATGGGAAGGAGCATATTTATGTCAAGCATAAAGTTCTACAATCAACCTTGTTATTATAAATACTATAAAAATTAAATTTTAAATGATGTACACTTGTGGGAAAGTGCACATTTTAAATATTGCTAGGTAAATTATACGGTAGAGTTCATTTGACTTATAATTTAGGAGTTTATCAACCTTGATAACTTTATTTGCCGGACTGCACTTCAAAAAATTTGTTTTTTTCAAGCTAAAAGGCTCGCACAAAATTTCTTCCATTGAAAAAGTATGCTTAAAAAATGAATTGGGAAATGATAGAAAAACCATTACAAAAATTTATTATAGAAAATCCACAGAACAAAGTTAATCAAATGACAATGTTATGGGTCATTGTAAAATAGCAATAGAAATATGACCAACTTGAGGATTTTACCTAATTATGCATATGGAGTTACATTTCAATTACTTGTTAGTAACTATTTTTAAGTGATAATCTACTAATAATCGCCAACAAACAATCTATTTTTAAAGACCAAACTATGGCAATTTTTTCTTTAGTGGCCCCAATCATCTTTTGCTAGCAAAAAAAATTGCTAAAAAAATATTCAAAAAAAAGAAGAAGAAGTTATTCCTTATCTCTGTACACTTATATGCCTATGATTAATTAAAGTTTATACAAAAAATCATAAATTAATATTCAACATTAAAATTTTTTATAATATAAAATTTTATATTAAAATGTACCCATTTTATACATTTCATGTAACAACATGAATATAGATAATATAAATGGTTATTTCATCTGAATTATCTTAATGTAAAAGAAAGAATGAGTATAAAGAACAAAATCCATAGGAAAAAACAACGATAAAATAACATTATTTGCATAACATAAGTTCGAGAAAAAAGTAGCTATGATGCATGAGAATAAAAAGCTTAAAAAATATTATTGCTTGTGTAAGAATGAGAATAATTCAAGAGATGCGAAAAAGTCAAATCCGAGACTAATTGGTTTTTGCAATATATCGTGATTCTCTCCGTTCAATACAAGATTTCTGCAAATCTCCCTTATACAAATGCACTCAACCTCTCCAAACTCTCAACATTAAAACATGAAAAGAGAATAAAAAAATAAAAGAACTTTTTTCGAGGGAACCCTTAGGAAAAACCCTAGAGCCCCCAAGTATCCCTTCAACCCTTGATGCAAAGTCCCCAAAGCACAAAGTGTCCCCAAGTCTTCACCTGATCCCTTTATATAACATTAAGGCTTCCAAATCCCTCAAAAACCTTAAAAAATTGATCAAGTCATGGGTCTAGATGGATGTTGGCGTAGCTGCGCCAGAATCGACATAATTACACAAATTTATAGTATAGCTATGTAGTTACGCTAATCGAACAACAAACCGACATAATTACATCAGAGGATTTACATAAAACCTACAAAATACAATAAATATATCATTCAAAAGCATAAAATTATGATAATAAAAAATAAAATAGAAAATTTAAATAGAAAAATATCATAACTTTGAGCTGTATCACTTGTCAAAAAATCTCAATTCCTATGAAATCTTAATTCCCCAGTAAAATCAGAATATTTTGTTTATTTAGAATTAAATTCATTATAACACTCAAACTCATCATCCTACAACCAAATCAAATCATTATATAATTAAGTCCCAAATTGGTAATCACCTAGCACACGCCCATTTGCAATAAATGTTGATTCAGAAGCATCATAGCTTGATTCAGAAGCAACAATTATGATTGGAACTGAAGAGATATACTTGGTTATCTTAACAAGAGTTTTGTATTTCATGGTGGACATTTTCCAGCACTGCAAAATATCAAACTCTGAATTGAGACATTTAACATATGTTTCCTGTAAGTATAACTCAAGATCAGACTTCTATGGAAGCGAAAGCCCGGTCGAATCTATAAAATAATATAAGCAAGCTAAATCATCAAGTGAGCTGGTGTTGTCTTGTGTTCTGATTGATGCCCCTACTTGAGAGTTAGATGTGAATGCTTCACTGACTTCTTTTCCAATAAGTTGTTTATCAACAACATAATAGCAGTATATCTTAAAAAGTTTTTGTTTTATAATATTCTTCTTTTCATTCACAATAAATTCATCATAATAATTAATGACACAAAATTTCATTCAAGAATCTAAAATGCAAGTAATTGAGAATAACATTGAACAGTCTTCTCAATATTTTTTGAACTTTATTTTCATGGTTCTCTGCATATTAGAAAAAAAAAATATTATGGGATAAACATTCCTGGTTCAAAGTTTTCCTAATGAGTATTAAATTGGGAAGAAGCCTACTTGTTGTATAATAATTGGATTCTGAGAAAATTTCAGTTATAAGACGATAAATATGATGAAATTCTCTAATCTTATCAAATTGATCTTATTCATCCTTTGATGGCAATGAAGCGTAATTAAGATCTCGCAAAGACAACATTATAATAAAATGCAGAATATAATATTTTGTATATGGAGTTCCAACATGCTGACACATCAATGCGTAATGATTTTGGTGCGAACAAACCAATCTGCCTTCCAATCTTAACAAATTTTTTTTATTGGCTAAGATATCTCTTTATAAACAATTTTGACTCTCTAAAATTTTCAATTAGTATCCTAATTTCATTCAAATTATCTTGCACCATTAAATTTAAAATAAGAGCAGCACAACGAACATGATAAAATCTCTCATAATGAGAGAATCAGATCTTCTACTAAACAATCATTTCAACTTTCTAGTGACCAGCTCATTTAACGATTCTCCAAAGTAATAGTATTGACTTTATTTTGAAGACCCCATTGTATCAAACTTTTAGAAATTGTTTTAGAAATATTAGATCTAATATGTGAATGTTCTAACTGTAATACACATTAAAACATATATAACCAATAGTTTGGCTTCATGTCCAACAATCAATGGTAAGTGAGACTATTTTAACTAATTTTAAATTTCTTTTCAGTTTTTCTTTCTCAACTTCATAACTTTCATGCATTTTTTCTCAATGGAAAATCTTGAAATTATTTGATAGTTTGAATTCATTGATTTCATTAGAATATTAAATCATAAATGTTTGAATGTTATGAAGAGATATTCACGAACAATGATCATATTGGCCACAATAATTTTTATTCTACCATGATCATATGAAATTGAGACGCATAAAACAAAAATAGACTGAATTTTATCAATAGATCAAATATCTTTTGTTTTTTTTATCTCTACCATCAATTTTACTGTAATGATTGGTTCTGAAATATTTACTCATTTAGGGATGTTATGAAGAGATATTTACGAACAATGATTATATTGGCCACAATAATTTTTATTCTACCATGATCATATGAAATTGAGACGCATAAAACAAAAATAGACTGAATTTTATCAATAGATCAAATATCTTTTGTTTTTTTTTTATCTCTACCATCAATTTTACTGTAATGATTGGTTCTGAAATATTTACTCATTTGAGAACTGGAACTAGTCTTTTGCTTCACATAGAACTTTACACAGTAATTACATTTTCATTTTTGAATTACTTTCCTTTTTTTTGATAGATATTTCACCAAAATATTGTCAAACCTCTGTTCTTTGCTTCTTTTCTTTTCTCTCTTTAGCAATTTTCCCCACAATCTCATTTTGAGCTATTGCTCTATTAACAATAGGCTGATTTCGAGAACTATTAGACTTGCTTTGAGTTTGAGTTTTCATTGCCTCTACAAAAAGTTTTAAACATTAAATTAATAAGTACTAAAGAAGAGGTTTACTTAAACTAATCTTGTTGCATTTGCTGATTTGCCACAAATAAAAGGAGTTTAAAATAACAAAATATCATCCAAAGGTTAAGGGGAACTCTAAATTCCAAAAAACAAATCACTACAATAGAATTTATGGTTGAGATAAAAAACATAAAGTACTCCATTAAAGCATAAAGGTTAATAACAGATCTAATAATTTTCTTGTAAGCCAATTACAATGAAAAATCTATCAATAGAAGAGCGGAACCACTAATCAGTTTTTTCTAAGAAAACCAAAGCATATTCTCAAATACCACTACTAATGCCATGTGACCCATGCCGATTTCCAAATGCCAAATGAACATACAATCACAACAATTGAACCCATCACTAGCCACCACCTTCAACAAAGAATAAAAGTTAACAGGAAAGTTTCACATGAAAAGTCCGTGAAAAAAGTTGACGATATTGTAAACACTTTTTTAAAAGGTGATGCCAAACCACATGCCATTATTTGTTTTATTGTAACAAAGTCAGCAAGAGAAGTTTTATGACATGAAATTCTTCTCAGCTATAAAATAACTCATTCTTCAAATGTGTTATTCAAATTAAGAGTGTTTAACAAAAGGAACAAATAGGAATTACATCTTCAAATCTTAGTTTAGCTAACCACAAAATGAACTCAAATGTCAAATCCTTCCATGCAGTTTGCTTCAAAAAGTTGTCATATGGAGATTGGGCACAGACTTTGTAAGAATGAAACCGAACTATAATAAATCTCAATAAAAAACATACATGTCAAAACATTAAAGTATGGTTAGGGAGACAAAGAAACAACCAATTGGGGAGGGAGACTTTCTTCGTCGTCTCCAAAATCGGGAGCGAAACTCAGAATGGGTCACGACCTCACGGGAGCGGCTGTGGTAGAAAAATAGCTAGGATTTATTATATAAAGAATTCAAAATCTAGTTATGTCTTAAGTCACATTATGAGCAGAATGATAGAAGGTCGAGAGCAATGGGAGTGGGAGCACAGTCAGCTGACGGTCGACATTAATTTCGATCAGATTCGAGAGGAGAATGAAATAAGATAAAAAAATGATTCAATTTTGTTGGCTCATAGCTCCGCTCGTTTATCTGGATTTGATATTAATTTAAGCCAAAATTAGATTCAATTTTCGGATGATTAACATTTTTAGAGCTAAATTGCAAGCCCTACTTCCAATCAGTCATTTATTGAGAAAATTTACACGAGCTTACACAAAATTTCCCTAATTGCCCTTCCCTCTCTACAGGCATCGACCGACTCCCGTGCTGTTTTTCTTACTGATAGCAAGAGCAGCCGTTCAACGCGCAGCTTTTGCTCTGTGCTCACCATAGCAACCGATCCTGAAGGTGAAAAAATTGTGTGTTCGAGAGCTTGATCGTGAGAACGCCTGCGAGCACCAACGAGAGAGATGAAGGAGAGAGGCAAAGCGGGGCAGCGTTCCGTGGACGAAAGGTATACCCAGTGGAAATCCCTCGTGCCAGTGCTCTACGACTGGCTTGCCAATCACAATCTCGTATGGCCTTCGCTCTCCTGCCGGTATTTCTTCTTTTCTTCTTCCCTCTTTGTTTCGTGATTCCCTTCTGGCTCAATGACATACTAGGGTTTTTGCGGCGAGGATCGCCGTTTAGGGTTTTAGGTTTTGGTTCTTGGCTCATTGTTTGCAAGTTCCTTTTTTGGTTCTTTTTAACCATACTGTCGATCTTTGCCATACCGGATGTGAAGGTTAGATGATTCTTGTTTAACATTTGAAGGTGAACATAGGTTTTATCTGAGTTATCCTTTTTTATTTCTTTTTTCTTACTTTAACGCTGCTAATTGAAAGATCTTGAAGAACAAGATAAACTCTTAGCGGCTGTTTGGCTGCAAGTGGGATTTAACGTCAGTAGGATTTAGTAAATCGTATATCCATTTGACGTGTTAGGCATCTTAGTTGAGGATTTAATTTTTTTTAGTGCACTAAATCCATTAAATCCCGCTAAAATTTGGATTTAGTAAATCCCAATTTATGTCAAAAAATTGACGGTGGAGAGAAATTCGGATTTAGCAAACCGTCGGATTTATTTCATGTTTATATATATATTTTTTTTTGCGTTTGGGTGGATTTATGTTAAAATATGTAAATTCACTCATCCCTTGGATTTATTAAATCCAAATTTAGGCCGAATCAAAGATAAAATTGGATTTATTAAATCCGAAAATTCGTAAATCCATAGAACTCCTGTATTTTGCTGTTTAATTGGATTTAGTAAAGTAGTGATAAATCTTATTGAAACCTCTCAACTAAACTGCCCCTTAATGAAAGTTAAGGGCCTGTTTTTGTTGCCTATTTATGTTAGCTAAGAGATAATGAGCTAAGTGTGTATAAACTGCAATGCTCAATTGTATAGCACATTGGTATTGTGAGATGTAAACTGCGTAAACCAATTTAAGAGATTCGAAACAAAATTTTGAACAGACGGGCACAAAGAAAGGAAATGTAGATAAAATCAGATTTAATTTGGAGAAACCCTAAAATGGAGAAATATCACGGAGCGATACTACACTAAGAAATTCACTATAAACAAAAATGAAGAGAATAATACAAGTACACCACATTCAATTATCTTCACACTTTTGAAGACTCTTGGATACTCACACTCCACTCCTTGCACAAGAAAATTCAAAATCAAACAAAAAAAAATCACAAAATAACTGCTTCAAATTTATTTAAAATTTTATTTTAGTTATATTCTGATTACAAATAAATATGGTTTTTGTAGCTTTTTTTTAAACACTTAAATCACTTAAAAAATGTTTTGAGTGAGTTAAAATAATTTTTTTGTTAAAAAAAACATAAATACCTTAAATAAACATATTTTTAAAAACCAAAGAAAAAGGAAAAAAAAAGGGGGAAAAAAGAAAATAATAAAAAATGATCCAAAATGGATCCTAGTTGAAATAAGAGAAGAGGAAGGTTGTGGCTTCTAGCCAAGCAAACCAAGCTTTGGCCAGTTTGGAACTGTGCTCAGCTTATCCTAGCTTATCCCTCAATAATGAAAAGCTGGGCTTAGCTTAACCTGGCTTTCAAGATGGCTCAAATTTGTGCTTAAAAATAAAAACAAGGCCAAACCTGCTTAGGTTGATAAATAAAACTGAAACAAACATGCCATATAACTTTTGGGCCACTATTATTGTCTCCTTTGCAACGTAACAGAGTCTGGAGCATGAAGTTCTTGCAACTTATAATGTAAAATTCATCAAAACAACTAGTTATTTCTTCAAGTTGATTTCTTGCCATTGATAGCCAATTTTGAAGTATGCCTGCGCCATTAATTAGTTTACTGTATATAACTTTCTATTATGTTAATGCAATTGCACCTTTGTATGTGAAGTTGGTGGTCACCATTTGATTTAGCTTTGATTGAGTTATTCAACATAACATAAATTATTATTACAATGAAAATTCATTGTAGTATTGGTAAATAGATAATTAATTATGTAACAGTTGTTTTGTGTTGGCCAGTTAATTTAGGTTGATTTTTACTGTTTCCTAGTTTCATTTGCAATTTCTCTTCTCTATTCTTACTCTCCATATTCATTTTACATGAAAAGTTGGGGCCCTCAAGTGGAGCATGCAACTTACAAGAATCGTCAGCGCCTTTACCTATCTGAACAGGCAAGTAGCTTCCCTAATGCTACATTTGTTACAGTTATGTCGTTTTAGCCCTTAAAAATTATAGTGAATGAGATTAAGTTCTTGACAAGACATCCTCTGATTGAAAATTCTTAAAAACACTGATATTGGAAGTAATAGATAGGAAATTATGTGGAGCAATTTTAACTGAGATCTTTTGACCTGATTCTTTTTCTACTAAATTAAGATTTTTTTGCATTAAGTGGGAGTTAAATAAGCAGCATTTTCACATTTTACATTTTTGTTAATTTTGTTTGTCTTTTCTTTCCGTTATTAGTCTTGTAAAATTTTTTAATGACTCTTATTGAGTTACTTGTTTATTTTGCATACCATATATTATTTGTTAAAAGAAAGTTTGGGATTTTATTGAGCTTTTTCATGAGAAAGTTGAGCCACAGTTGCTATTCAGCTATATCTCTTTTTTGTGCATATTTTTCCAGACTGATGGCAGCGTTCCAAATACTCTTGTGATTGCCAATTGTGATGTTGTAAAACCAAGAGTTGCAGCTGCAGAACATATTTCACAGGCTAGTGCTTATTTTTACAGCAGTTGTTAAAGTTTATTTATTAGCCCATAATTTCCTTGAGAGGATTGTTTGAAGGAAATCTCACTTTAGTTATGCTGCTGTTTTCAGTTCAATGAAGAAGCACGCTCACCATTTGTGAAAAAGTTTAAAACTATCATACATCCTGGGGAGGTGCGGAATTTTTTTTATGCTGGAGATTTTATACCATTAGGGTTTATTTATTTATTTTTGCTTATGTTAATTACTTTTTGAAGATCAGTTTTGTTTCTTATTTCTAATAAAAAATCATTTATTAGATTATTTTCAAATATAAGACGATGCGCTTGTCACATTACATTCTTATTTCATTGAAAAATAAATACAATCAGAAAAATGTATTTAATCAATTAATTTATATTGAAATTAAATCTTATCGTGTACTCACTTCTGGAATAGCTGCATTAATTTAGGAATGTTATTCTCTTCTCTTAAATGCTAAACCTTCCTCCTTGTGATTGATTGTTCTCCAAATATATCTCTGCATCAAGTGGTTGCCTAAAATTTCACATTTGGTGGTTCAACAGAACTCAGACATCGAGGTGGATCAACATTTAGACAAAGAAGGCAACCCTTCACTTGTCTTCTTTAATGATTCAGTCTTCACAATTGCCTTATCTTTCTTCATCTGTTTGCTGATCTCTATCTTTTGACTGTTGCCATTTGAAACTTTTTGTAGGAAACAAAGTTTTTAAATTAGAAGGGAAGTGTTCCTATAATTTAGGGTGTCATCTGACAAGCTTCTGGCAAATATGGCCATTTAGCTCCATGGTTTCTTGATCTAGAACTGCATAAGAGTTTTTTTATGTGGAAGGAAGGAGCATGTATGGAAAAGCGTGCAAAAAACCATGACAAAATCATATTAGCCAACAATATACTACTACATAAATTTGATATCTGCCTCTATCTTTTAAAAATTTTTGAAGTAACTCAAGAATGACGATCAACTACATAGGACACCCATTTAAAAATGGATCTTTCTGTCATCTTTTCTCTTCCATTTTACTATTCCTGTCCTTTTAAGTAGGACATAGGCATTGTGAAGAAATTCATTTGATTTGGTACTGTAACGTTTCATGTCTCTTCCTCCTTTTTAATTGTCTTTAGGTATGAATTCGTCCCTTAGGCAGTTTGACTAAAAGATGATATGATACTTATTAGATATTGATTGCTTGGTATTCTGTGTAAAATAAGTTCTTAGTTGTTGTGAAATTCTACTTTTTTGTATGAAATGACATTTCAATAGCTCCCAGTACTCCCTTGCTTTTCCTTAATCTCATTGCATTTTACACCTGAATTTTTGCAGGTCAACCGAATCAGGGAGCTGCCTCAAAATAGTAAGATAGTGGGGACTCATACTGACAGTCCCGATGTATGGTGTTTTCCTTTCATACTGTTCTCCTTATTTTTGACATGAAATTTCTCTTCTTAAGAAGGTATATATTGAAGCCTGCTGGATTGATGCCTGAAATGCAGGTGCTTATTTGGGATGTTGAATCTCAGCCTAATCGTCATGCCGTGCTTGGTGCTGCGCCGTCACGCCCCGATTTGGTCTGGCACTGTTAGTTAGTTCTAATGCAAAAATATTTATTTTCATCACTTATAGAACATCCATGCACATTTTTATTATTCCCGGCTCCCTTTAATGTAAATGATTCATTGTTGTAGCTAATCTTGTGCTTATGCTTTGAATTTGTACTTATCAGTTTTTAGTCCTTAGCAGACAGTTTCATTTGTATTACAGGTGCTCACAGGGCATCAAGAAAATGCAGAGTTTGCTCTTTCTATGTGCCCCATTGAGCCTCTGGTCCTTTCTGGAGGTTAGATGATATTTAACTTTATCTCATTGATAGGACTTTGTTGATGAACATTCAGTGCTTTATTTTAGGCATAGAATTGCTCCAATTTAAAGATTTGATTGCCGAGTATATGTGGGTCATGTGGTATGCAATACCCTTTATACCATCAGTTTAAAACAGCTTTGTTTACTTTATTTATCTTACTGGTTTAGATGGTTAATAAGTGGCTCTATCTATCAGCTTCAGCCAAATCTTTATAACATTGATTGCCATCACGCCCAGAACTTTTTTTGGGCATCTCCCACGTAGTGAAGTTGCAGATATTGATTGTTGTTGTTTCAATGACTCTGTTGTTGGATAAGTAGAATTCAATTTATTTAACACCCTTACATGATTTGTTGCTTCATAGGCAAGGACATGTCAGTTGTATTATGGAGTATACAAGATCATATATCTACTCTAGGAGTGGCTTCGGATGTTAAATCTCTTGAGGCATCTTCTGGGAGTTCTGGCGGTAAGCAGGCTGCAAAAGCTGGTAACAACAAGGCATCAGACAGTCCCACCCTTGCACCACGAGGGGTGTACCAAGGACATGAAGATACAGTTGAAGATGTGCAGTTCTGTCCTTCTAGGTAATCTAGAGACAAAATACTGCAAAGAACTGTTTCATTATCATCATCCTCCTATCTTTATTCCATTTGCAAGCAGCTGTATAATGCATATGGTTCTTTGTTTCTACCTTGCTGTCATTAGTCAGCTTCATTTTTGGACCATTGCTTGCTGATTTATAGTAATTTAGCTTCTGTGCTGTAGTTGTCCAGTGTAATGAAATTTTTAAAATTTTCACTAACCTCTTAAGATTATTTTATTTTTGTATTTTTACCTAATGATTGCTTTGTTCTTATTTTATAGCATTTTTGTTGTTGTTGTAGTGCTGAGGAATTTTGTAGCGTTGGTGATGACTCTTGTCTCATATTGTGGGATGCTCGTAGTGGTACAAGTCCCGTTGTTAAGGTGAAGCACCGTTTTTCCATCAAAATGGTTTTTAGCTTTCCGTTTTATGACGCAAAATTAAGATATTGCTTTCTATGGATGAAATCAAGGTTTTTAAACTTGGCTTTAGTTAGTTTGATCTCAAAGCAGAAATTTAAGTTTTATTGATTTTGATATTTCTTGGTGTGATATTTGATAACTTTTTATATTTAAAATTTTTAAAGTAATATACAACCACAACAAGCCTTTATCCCATTAAGAGGGTCGGTTACATAATCCTTTTTCTCCATTGCATCCTATTGAGTGTCAAATTTTCATCTAATTCTAATAAATTAAGCTCTTTTTTATACAATATTTTCAAGTCTTTTTAGGTCTACCTTTACCTTTCTTAACATAAGTTGAATATGTTATATTTAAAATATATCTATAAACAACTATCAAAATTAACTATTTTTCTACTATGTTGTTCATGAGTCACCATGTGTGGCTCATATGCTTAATTCTGGCTTTGTAACCACTTTCCTTCTAGTTTGGTTGATTTAATGTATTTTTATGCATTTTAGTTACATTTTATTAAAAATCAATGATTGAAAAGATATATATTGAAAGTTTTAGTTATTGTTCAAATATTTGACTATGTAGCATAGATTTTGTAGGAATAATTTTTGTATATACAAAACCTGTTTACATAACAGACTTTAATTTCTTCTATGTTCTATTACCATGTAAATAAAACAAATGAGTACATGTAATATTATAAATTTAGGGAGTATTCAGAAAATACTAAAATAGTTCATTCATTTTAGTGCAACCCAACCAGTAGATCTTGAGACCTATAGATTGACTGGGTGATTTCGTTATAAGCTCAGTCCTAGAAGGCTTGGGTTTGACTCCCCTATGATGCAACAAGGGATTTTTCTTTTTTTTACTGTACACATGATTGTTTCTGAGCGAATTTCACCAAACCATTGAACTTTTGAGGTCAAAGTACAAGAATTAGAACAGTCAAAACCAAATTTAAGTAGATGTTTTAGATTGGTTTAATTGTTTTTAAAAACAACCAATGAAATTTATTTTCTTGTCTTTATATTGTCTAAATGTTGGTGTAGGAGATGTTTATTGCATCAGTTTTGTTCAAGCTTAACCATTATTACCCCAATCGTTCATGTTTTAATATGGTGAAATTCTGTTGGACCATGTGAATTTGTGATAAACAAACTGATCTGAGATAATGATTGGACCGTGTGAATTTGTGATAAACAAACTGATCTGAGATAAGGAGATTTAGTTGGGTTGTGACTTCGTAATCTGCAAACTGAACAAGGAATATTAGTTCTGATATTATTGAATTTTGCTGAATTAACGTTGCCTTGAATGCATATCATGAGGATAATCTAATCTTTTATACCATCAATTTCCTCTTCATCTTTATTATCATTTATCCATCAATGAAAATCTCTTTAGCCCTCCATTCTATTCTCTCTTTCTCTCGTTAGAATCATACCTGTATAAGAAAAAAGGACCTTTGAATATTTCATTATCTCTATGCTAGCTAAAGCAATTGTCTTCTTCCTTTGAAATCTGGAAGAGCCTCTAAAATTTATATGTTATGAACTTTATTGTAGGTCTTCCATAGCATGGACTTGTAACTGGATTATGTTCCATTCTATGAATTTTTGTAGCGGATCAAAGCATCCATATTTAGGATTTTTAACATGATTATATTGCCTATTTGAGATTCTGACCTGAATTGCTGTACCTTCATACAGAAGCTGCATTCCGAATCTTATTACCAAGGTATTCATATTCTTAATTTTATAATAGGCTGAAAATGCAGATCTGATTTTATTAAACTGCCGACCATACTTAAACTGATTGTGTTAAGTGTAATTGATAGTGTGGAGGTCATCATAATGATTTATGTTGCATTCTGCATACAATTTTTAGTGATCATATTAGTGGTTGCTTAAAATACATGTTTAATACCATATTTGGCTAATGCTCCTTTTGATCATTTTGTTTCTTCTTATTACTTTTGTTAAAGTTTTTTCAGACACTTGTTGCTTTTGCTCATTCTTTCTAGTCTTTTGTTTCATTCTTGAGTTTCATCTATTATTCTATTCTGCTGCCAGGTTGAGAAAGCTCATAATGAGGATCTTCACTGTGTGGATTGGAATCCCCATGATGTCAATTATATTTTGACTGGGTATGTGTTTTTTGGCTTGATAAACTCTGAATGCTGACTGAGGTCTGTTGAAGTTATTTGGATTAAGTCATATTTATCCAATTATATTAAGCAATACTGTCATAATATTTACGCTTTATATATATTGTTTATCAAACTTAATGTTTATTGCGTTGCATCTACTTATTAGGTCTGCGGATAATTCTGTTCGGATGTTTGATCGGAGGAATCTTTCTTCAGGGGGCGTTGGCTCTCCTGTTCATAAATTTGAAGGCCACTCAGCTGCTGTTCTTTGTGTACAGGCATGCGTTTTTTCCCTAATTTTTCCTTATCATTGTCTTGTTTCTTTTTGACAGCTATCTTTTTTTTTTTTTTAAAGCTTTGTATATTCTCTTTAAGGCATTCATCATTTTTATGCTTATGCCATATTAATTATTGTTGCTTCAGTGGTCTCCAGACAAAGCATCTGTTTTTGGGAGTGCTGCAGAGGATGGCTTCTTAAATGTTTGGGATTATGAGAAGGTACTCACAACAAGTCTTGTTGCAACCAAATAACTATAGAAGCTCGAGTCTAGTTCCTTCTTTTAAATCATAGTGTAGAAGAGTGCAAATATACTGATAACTATTTAATATAAGGGAAATTTACATACATATCACACGATTCTTATGTATTTTCATATCGGACACCTAAAGTTTGATATACACTTGCCCATACGTACTGAGAGCAATCTCTTTTATCTTCCTCGGTTATTTTTCTGTTATGCTTTCAATTAATCTCAACCCTAGCAAGATGTATTCGTCTCTCTCTCGTGATTGTGTGGGCACTCGTGGATACGTGCATGCATCTGTGCTTACATTTGTTTTGGTGCATAAGGCATAATCCTATTTTATAATCAAATTAAGTTGGTTATACTTCCTTTAGAGGGAAAGGGAGTGAGAGCTAGGATTTCACTAACTAAGGCTCCATTTGGCGTAAGTGGTACGGCGGCGATCCTACGGCGCACCGTTGTTCTGGCCGTTTGGGAAAACCACGTTTTGGCTGTTTTTGCAAAAAACTGTTGTTGAAACTAGCGTTTTCCCATCACTCCTGACTAAGTGTGGTGGGAGCTTTGTAGCTGCGGTCCGACTTTCTGACAAAAAAAATTGTAATAGCCACCGCAGCTTTTTGCAATATCAGATTATTCTTCAGCAACTTCACAACAGCTTCTTAATAAGTTTCTGCTGCCCCAAACATAGCCTAAATATGCTTTGCAATAGAAAAAGAAGCATGAGCAAATTTAAATCTCAACCATTCAAATGTGTTTGAATGGTATAAGATATTTGTATGCGTGCATATGCATAAATATAAATGATAAATTACTATTATTTTTGAAGGAATGGAGTCCCGTTCACACACATCTCCCACCTGCGTCTAAATTCTTTTGATGATTGAAGCTGTGTATATATATATATATATATATATATATATATATTGAAGAAGTTCCACTTACATGCCAAAACACACGAGAGTGCTCTTTCGACCCGAAAGAAAATCAGCTGGTACAACAAGTAGTTGCCTCTAATGTTCTACAACCTACACATATTCTGCACACTTCAGACCATTCTGCTGATCAGGTGAGCAAATCCTTGGATGAGGAATGACAGGTCTACACGAGGAGGAAGAAGAAGAACGGAGGACGACTCGAGCTAGTGAATCTATTGGATGATACATTGGTTGCTACTGACAATGACACTCATCTGACCAATTTATTAGCTAGCTCCTTCCCTATAACTAGAGGCAGAGACGACAAAATTGGGTCGCTCTCCAGCTACCTGATACTCCTATTTTGACACTTTTTGGTTTTTATTTTTTTTTGATCTCTTATGTATTGGCTGTATTTTCTCTTTTTTGAAACCATTTGATATGGTGGTTTTTGTGTGGGCTTGGTATCATTTTTGGGATCTCCCACAAAATCTATCTGTACCCTACTTTTTATTTAATATATTAGCCTTTGTGCTTTCAAAAAATATATATATTCTTCAAATTTTAACTGCTCAAAATCTTGAATGAATGGGAGAAGATGTGATGGAAATCTTAATGTTTACACGAATAAAGGATTTGTACAAATTATTTTAGTAGCAATAGTGATGCTTTGTTGGATGTGGTTCTTGTAGCGCTGTTTTAAGCAGTATGGCTATGACCTAGCATTTATACCTGTTATGTACTGTAGCAATTGCGATGCTTTGTAGTTTAAGGGCGTGACTTTGTAATGCCTGTGGTGACAGCTTCTGTTTGAATATTATCAGGTATCCAAATTTTATTCTTTAAAATAAACCAAAAAGAAGCAGCAGATTAGAGATTAGATGCTTATGATTATTTTTATTTTTTGAGATAAATGCTTTTAATTACCAATACATGAGGCATGCACAACTTAACTTCTGATCAATAAAATTTATGCTTTTAACTTCCAATCTTGTGTGTTTTTCAATGTGCATTTGAGTGTGGTGCAAGAGTGATAAACAACTTCTTGATGATGAGATCTCTTTATAGACAGCAGGCTTGTATTTTATTATCTTTGTTGATCTTTTATTTTTTTGTAAATTATTTTGTTATTTTTGTTGCTATAATCACGATTTTAGATAAATTGTTGTGGTTGGGATTTCACTTGTAGCAAGCTGATTAAATTTCTTTAATTAATCCAAGTTGCATTGTTGTTTTGTGCCAACTTTATATCTTTTGAGTTTATATTTTTAAGAAAGAATTTTTGTAATTAGTGGTCATTGCTATGCGAATTTGTATTGCTTTTGCATGGTCTAATGCGCTTAAAGAAACATGGTTTATTGTAATTAGTAATATTTGATCGACCTATCTTTATTTTTTGTGTGATTTTAAATTATTGAATCGTTGTAGTTGCATTATAAATCCTACACTATTAGGCATCCCACATCAATTTTTGTGCAGACAAGTATTTTTTACAGGATATGATGATTTGAACATGCCAAAATGCAAAATAAAACAATTGGGCAAAATAAATAAATAAATAAATAAAGATAGTATTGCTCGGAGGCATCATCTTGTTTTAGCCAACTTGTTTTTATTTGCATTATTATTTTAAAAATTTTCTTTCTTGTCAGCATACCTTAGCAAGATTCTTGAGTAGAATTTGTTTTCTGTGTTAACCGAGGTTGTCCTCATGTTGTTTCGTTTTGAGCTAACCGCTAACTTTCTATTTTAGGTTGGTAAAAAGAGAGAGAGGACTGGTACAAGGACGACAAATTCTCCACCTGGCTTGTTCTTTCAACATGCAGGACATAGGTGAGTGTCATCTGCTGAATGTTGCTGAGCTTGTTTTATTGGCATGCAAAATGTGCTCTTATGTACTATCATGTATTCTGGCGGAATATGGAGTCCCTAACATTATACAGTAGTTGGTCTTCTGAAATGTCATTTTGCTACTATTGTTGAACAAATGGCAGCACTCGTACTTAATGATGTTGGGATGTTACTTTAATTTAAACATAATTTTGTTGTAAAAAAAATTGAAACTATTTATAAAGTTGCATTTACCAAGCAGATCTTAAAAGAAAAACCCATTGCTCTGAGTTGCTTTTTTTTAGCGCTCCTTATTCAGAGAGTATAATGTAGGTTTTTATGGAATATAATTCAACGATTTATACAAGAATTTGCTCAATTAGGTTCTAAAATACTGATATTCTGTATTTATGTGATAATTAATCTACGTTAGTCTATATTATTTCTACATAAATAGTGAAAATCTATGATATTTGACCAGGTCCACTTTGTTCCATGTGAGAATTTAAGCCAGAAGCTTCTGCATGAATACTTGTACCTATACATATTGTCATCATTAGCATCATCACAACCATATATATGCATCCCAACAATGTAGAACCAAATCCATGCATCCCAACTATGTTGACTTGGCTTGGTAGATACTAGCATATTGACTTTTATCTAAAATAATCAAAATTACGTGGGAAAACTGGGAAAGGGCATTTTAATTATTTGAATTGAGGCTGAAATTTGATTAGAACATAACAAGTTCTAGTTTATGGATTTGGTAGAGTCTAAAGGAAAAAATATGTCCTGGTTAAAGGCAGCCATATAATCTGGTCTCTTCAATTCTGGATACCTGAAGGATACTTGTTTTCAATGTATTTGGGAATTAATGGCATGGTTCTATTAGATCGGCATGAGCCTCAATGCATTTTCTTGCAATGATAAGCTCCTAGTCATGAAGCCATCTTCTAGACTTGTCAGAAAACAATACCAATATACATACTTGGTAGGATTTACCCTTGTGGAATGGTCTGATTTCCACATCTCTGCTATGGCTATTGAAAACAAAGCAGGATGAGCTGATCATCATCATCATATTAGCTTTACCAACTATTTGGCTTTGGCATTTTTAAAGTCCTCCATTCATTCCTATTCAATTCTGCATGAGATATTAGTTTAATTTTGCACAAGGCTTTGTCTATGCTTTTAGCCAAATAACGTATTTGGTTTACTCCTTTTCCTTCATATTTTTTCACATTATTTTTATGTATTGATTTTATTGTGCATCTTTTACATTGTCGACTGCACAAGTCTACTTTTCAAAAGATATCTTCAATAGCTGTTGTTTCTATTATATATTTTCCTTTTATTAAATTCTTTCTAATTATACCACACATTTATGTTAATAGTCAAATCTTTATGATGCCCATTTTGTTGGTGAATGATGTTTTATAGTGTCACATTTAGAGTCATATAGGGTAGTTGGTTTTATTATAGGATCATAAAATTTACCTTTAGATATTCAGATATGACTTTATTGTTCAGTACTTTTGAGATACTTTTCTTTCTTATCAACATGAGTTAATTCTAAAACTGAAGGCCATATTTGTCATTCCTTCTGTATAAGAAATTAGACATATTATTGCACGTAGCTATTAACCTGATCTTCCTACAATGTTACTAGTAAGTATTTGTTTCAAATTTTGTTAACATGTTGCTCTACTATTACTAAGCTCTTATTTCTTAAACCTTTATTTTGTTCTTACTTTTCATTTATTTTAGAATGTCTCACTTACTAAAGCTATTACATTTGCAAATAGCATATAAGATCCCTGAATTTAAACTTCATATATTAGAATCTCCATAACAAAACTAATCCTACTACAAATAGTAGTATTTGTTCACTTCCCAATTATTTTGTGTTATCTATTGGTCTATTTTTTATATTGTTAATAAAATATTTTTGACAACTTTAATATATCTTCCAATTTGATATGTATATTGCATGATCATTGTGTGGAACTATTTAGGAGATTTTTGGTTTACTAAACTTTTTAATATTATTTTAAAAACTAAAAAGATGCCTGAAGAGGGGAGGAAGAGTATTTTGATCCCAATTTTAAGAATAAAGGTGTTGCACAAGAGTGTGTAAATTTTAGAGGAATTAAGTTGACGTGTCATTAAAATTATGGGAGAGTAATTGAACATATGTTAAGACGTATTACAAAGATTTCTCATAATAAATTTGGATTTATGACGGGCAGGTCTACCATGGAAGTTATACATTATACATTTATTGTTATTGAGAGGTTTGATGGAGAAGTTCAGAGATTCCAAGGAGGATCTACATATGATTTTTATTGATTTAGAGAAAACTTACGATATGATTCCAAGCGATATCTTTTGGAGCGTTCTTGAGAAGAAAGATGTTGATATGACTTATATTAAACTCATTAAAGCTATGCATACAAGAACTGTGACTTGTGTTCGAATAGAAGGAGGATTGACCAGTTATTTTCCTATTTCTGTTGGTTTGCATCAAAGGATCGGCTTTAAGCCCATATCTTTTTGCTTTAGTTATGGATGGTCATACTAGACACTTACAAGAGGATGTCCCTTGGTGTATGCTTTTTGCTGATGATATCCTTTTCGTGGATAAGATGAGAGATAAAGCTCAGGAAAAACTTGAATTATGGATGTCTATCTTGGAGTCTAAAGGCCTTCGTTTGAGTAGAACTAAAACTGAATACATGGAATGTAATTTTAGTAGTAGTAGCTCTAGTGACAAACATTTAACAATGGTCAATCAAATTATTAAACGCTTTAGATACCTCAGGTATATTGTTCAAAGTGATGGTGATATTGATGGGGATATGAATTCAAGTCGGTTGGTTGAAGTGGAGGAAAGCTTTGAGCCTATTGTGTGATAGAAAGTATCGCTTAAATTGAAAGGAAAATTTTATAAGATGATGGTGAGACTTGCAATGCTCCATGGAACTGAATGTTGGCCTTTAAAAGAGAAGCATAAAACTAAGTTAAGTGTTACCGAGTTGAGAATGATTAGTGGCTTTACACTTAGAGACAAAATGCAAAATGAATATATCCGTGATAGGGTTTGTGTAGCTCCAGTGATAGAAGTGATAGACAAAATTAGAGAGATTAGAGAGTCGTTTTAGATGGTTTGGTCACATTTAACGTCGACCAACTGATGATCCGATTAGAAGAGTAGATGTTTTAAATCCGACTTATGCTAAGAAAAGCAGAGGTAGACCTTGGAAGACTTGGGCATATTGTATAAAAAATGATCTTAATTTATTAGAATTAAATGAAAATATGACACTAAATAGGACAATGGGGAAAAAAGATTCATGTAGCCGACCAGATTCATGTAGCCGACCCCACCCACTTAGTGGGATAAAGGTTTTGTTGTTGTTGTAGTCTTAGCAGAATGATTTGATTTGACTCGATTTTGCAGATTTTTGGAACTAACTGCCCTTCTCATTGTCAAATCAATCCAAATTGCCTGTTGGCTAATGATCATGGTTTCAGATTATATATGTTTGGCTTTTAATTTGTATGTTTAACCTTCAATGAGATGTGCAGGGATAAAGTTGTTGATTTTCATTGGAATGCATCTGATCCATGGACCATTGTTAGTGTATCTGATGACTGTCAGAGCACTGGTGGCGGTGGAACACTGCAGGTAAATTTCTATTTCTTTCGCGATCGGATTGCATTTTTTATTAACGTGTTAATGAATGCCATGGCTGTTACCCAGTGCTCTACTTCCCAGTTGCCGCATTGCAGTAGTTGGGATTATTTTATTTTATTTTTTTCAAATTAGATAAAATTTGTTTGGTAACTGATTATTCTTATTTTTATTTGGGGCGTTTATATCCATACCACCCAATTCCATGTATTTACATAGTTACACCTAAACTTTGTTTTGGAGCATTTACATGCATACCACAATTCTTATATATTTATTACGTGTTTTTAACACTTGAACATTCATATTTACACGCATAACAATTCAATTGTTTAATAACACATCGAAAAATACCGCTATAATTATCTTTTTAAAAGCGAAATGCATATTTTCATGCATAGATTTATGACACCAATGTGTTACGTGCACTTTAGGTGTGAGATATGTAAATATATAAGAATTATGTGGTATGTAAGTAAATTTCTCCTTCATTTTGTTCATTTTATATCCCTCAAATCTTTCATATCACAATAAAAATATTACTATTTTAACTTTTAAAAAGTGAAATAAACCTTTTCATGAATAATAGGTAAGTTGGCATATATGTAAACAAATGAAGTTTATAGATATGTAAATGCATAAGAATTGATTGATATGCATGTAAATCTTCCATTTATAAATTGGTCTCGTACATGTCCTTAAACCTTTTTTTAAAACTTGGAGATCATTCTCCATGCGGTTGCTCTCCACCTTAACATCTCTCTTTTTTTCTTTAGTTTATTACGTTTGACCTTAGCCTGATCATTGATGCAGATATGGCGCATGAGCGACTTGATTTATCGGCCGGAAGAAGAAGTTCTGGAGGAGTTGGAGAAGTTCAAGTCTCATATCCTCACCTGCGCCCCCAAGACCTGATTTATGGCTTTCTGTTTCTCTTATCCTTTGCTCTCCATTATAGGACTTGTTTTAATTACAGTCATGCATTTGGTAAGTTCTAAACCCTTCAGATGACTCGTACTGGCGACTAAGACTACTAATTTTTATCTTTCAGTTTTGGGTGACCGACTCAAAGAATGATGGGAATTGTGTGTTTTAGCTGAAAATTTGAAGGGCAAACCTTGATGTGGTTTTCATATTTTATGTATGACATGCTTAGAACATTTGCATGCTAAAGATATGGAGAGGTTTCCTTTAAACTTCATTTCAATGAATGCCATGGAAGGTTTTACATTAATGTAGAACATAGAAGTAATTTCTTGAATTCCATTTTACTTGAGTTCTTAAAATTTTGGTTGTATTTAAGTTTAATTCAACTAACCTTTGAGCATTTAAAAAATGTTCGAATATATTTATTTATTTATTTGAACAAACTTGATCGGATATTATATCAAGTCGAGTCCGAGTTGTTCATCAAGTGCATAGCAAAAGTACCACATTGCAAATTCCATTGTCTTTTATAGAGGGTTTTAGTTGTAAGTTTCTTATCTCTTATTCATTTTTGAAGCTCCACCTTGATGGAGAAGGATGGGAATGATGATTAAAGCACCCTTTTTTAATGGGATCCTCTCACAACTTCTTCGTGTTTGTCATTACTTTTTCTAGTTAGGGTTTTGTTAACTTTGTAATGGTTGAGGGTTTGGTTGTTAAATGATTCAAATTTACTGTGATTGGAACATGATTTGAACTTAGATAATAAGCTTCATTTAATTGGAATAATTTTGTTGGTATGGTTTGTGAAGTAGTAGGAAATTAGCTGGAAGTTATTTGGCTGCGTTTATGATGAAAAAATGAATAAATAAAAAAAGTACTTATTTAATTTTTTTTTTATCAACATTATACTAAGTCAATGATTTGTTTAGAAAGTTGTAGTTTAAGTATATTATTAGAACTCATGAACTTCATTTAGTAGTTATGAGTTTTTAAAATAGAATAAAATTTTCTCTAGTTAAGGAAAAAATTTTAGTCAAATGTTTGCATAAATTATTGATAGAAATAATGTATATAACAACATTAACATAATTTGATAGCCATCATGTATAGGAAGAGAGAGAAATAGAGAGAGACCTTGAATTTTGGGTGTGTGTAATGTATATGTATATATATTCATTATGGAATAAAATGAGTCATCGGCTCCGGGAACACCCCCATTTTCCCCCTGGACGGGAAGTCTCCCTATTCCCTTTTCTCTCTCCCTTTCTCCCTTTCTCTCAACCTTAATTATTGGGCATCGATTTGGTTAAACATCTTAAAAGACGCGGTGAGCTTGAATAAGACGAGCAGCACCAAGCAAATTTCTTTAGAAAGGCCATTCGGCTAATTTCTGTCGATCGGCAGACAAACACGAAGATCACCTCTCCGTCGCGCGTAGGATTTACGGAAGGACGAATTGTAGTAGATAAGATGATGGGAGGGGGTTAAACAAATATTGGCGAAGCTTATTCAGCTCGCGGATCAGGTAACAAAGCTAGCCGATGATGCTCGCTCCTTCAGGGCTGAACGCCAGGAGACGAAGTGCAAGACAGAGCACTGAACAACGCTTCTCCGGCAGGCTGTGAGGGCAGAGCACTATGAGCGGCCGTTTATGGACGACAAAGAGCTCGTCCTCAACAAAGCACTTGCTTTAGTTGCCAAGTGCCGCGCCAACGGACTCATGTGCCGATCGGCCTTGACAAATCCGTCGAAGACGTATCCTGACTCCTCCACGTCTCTGCCGCTGCCGGCGAGCCGGTTGAAAATTCAAATCATGTTCGATGTAGTTCGAATTCCTCCAAGATGTATGTCCGCCGATCGCTGGATTAGTAGTATCACATTCACATCATCTCCTATAATTATTCCACTCATCTCCTTCATCCACAGATCGATTAGCATGCCAACAAAAGGCGGCTTCCTACTCGATAAACAAGCTTTCCTTGTTTACTATTTTTCAGAAGGATCTTA